TGCTTGTTGCTTTTTATGGTTGTGAAGAAAGATTTCAATGTCAGGTGGAATTTGATGAATGAATTCTGAGAAATTTTCAACTATACTAACTTTATTAGATTTGATTTCTTCATTACTGAAAGCACTGCAATTAATTCTAGCCTATGACCAGAACAAGTCTCTCCATAGCTTCAAAAAATGTTTTTGATGCCTTTGTGTAGTGTTATTGCTTCAACATATGGATTTCCAGCTTGGTTCACATGTTCAAGTCTGGGGCCAACCAGGCCAACCACCACGACTGCTTGTGTTTTTCGAAAGCACTTCACGTAAAAATACAAACTAATGGAGTTATTTGAATTGGTTACAACTTTTGCACCAAAGGGTTGACATTTTATCTCATTTTGGTTTTTTTTTTTTGCTCTTCTTCTGTTTGGAGTTTTCTCCTATAAACGAGTTGAATTGATCTCTATATTAATTTAACAACCTTTAAAATATGTTCAAAATTGATTTCTTTACCATATTTCTAAAATAACCTTTAATCTAATCTAAAATCAACTTTCAACAAGTGGAATACGGGTTTTAAAATCAAATTTTCTCTGGAAATCCTATTCTTTGTTTTTTCCTCATTTTGAATTATGTCAGTTATTTACCATGTGTTTGTATTTAGTTTGTACATGCATTCACTTTGGGAAGACTTTGTAATTTCTGGGCTGGTGTTTATCGTCTTCCTAAGAATATACAAATTTGGTGTAGCTTGTATTGTTTTTTTTCCAAGACCTCCTCCTTTGTAGAGAAATTTCAATTTTCTCTGGGTTGAACCCAGAGAAATTCTTTGGGAAGTTCATAATTTCTCTAGGTTGGAAGTAATTTTCTTTGGGTTTTGTAAATTTCTCTGGGTTGGAAGGGAAAATTAAAAAAGTCCATTGTTGATCAGAGCTTTTACAAATATCTATGGATACTTTTTGAAAGCTATTTTCGAAGATCTCTCTCTCTCTCTCTCTCTCTCTCTCTCTCTCTTAATTTACTTGATGAGTTAGGTTCTTCTTCAGCTATTCTTCTATGGTGGTAATATATCATAATCTATGCTCTTTCTCAGATTCTCTTCCAGAGAAATTTGGTGTTGGAGATGTGTAAAATTTCTCTGTGATGTGTCCAGAGATATTTGGTGTGGGTGATATGTCCAGAGATATTTGGTGTTGGTCTAGAGAAATTTGGAATTTTCTCTGTGATTTGTCCAGAGAAATTCTCTGGATTGAATTTTCTCTGGATTGATTTTCTCTGGATTGATATTGAGGGACCTTACATTTTCTCTGGTATTACATTTTCTTTTCATTCAAGTTAATGCTCTTCTAGTTGTTAAGAATGAATTTTGACAAATTTTCTGCATTCTGCTAATTTAGCTAATGAATTTGGCGCATGAGAACTTCATTGTTGTACTGTTTTGGATCCTTCCATGTTTTATTAATAATTTTTGGTCCTAGAACAGTAGGTATCCTATCAAGTTCATTCCTTCGGCTTGTTACTCATATTAATTACAAAATTAATGACCTGCTATGATGAGCTTGATGTTGTGTGTTAGAATATGATCATGCATTCAAGCGCTAACATGGCCTTAATCTAGTGGCAAGATTATTGCTAGGGTCATTTAGATTGAAGGACACCAAAAATGCTTGTCTGTAGTGGTATTATGGATAAAAAGGGTGATATATATATGTATTTTTTTGTTGATAAACTTCAATGTTAACACAAATCATGCAATTATTGCTTTTCGTTCTAGAAGTTCATTCCCATGATGGATTGGAGTTGTCTCCTATGGTTGTTTACACACAATTTCTTCCGTGCTTACTATTGATTATGCATATACTTGGGTCTTATTCACTTCCTCTGCTCTCTTATGTTGTTTTGGTTTGGAAGTGCTGTTTGTTGTGCTACATGTTGAGTTATTTACTGGAAATCTTGTGTGCATGCCATACATCCCACAATTGTTACAGCAGCAAGATTGCCATTCTTCTACTTATATTGATGCTGTTAATTAAGGATATGGGCAGGAAGAAGACTGGGCACATAGATTACGAATATGCCCAGTCTTGATGCTGGGCAGGAAAAAGACTGGGCATCAACTGTAAGGACTGTGCCTTGCAGAATTTCTCTGAGTTGGAAAGAATTTTTCTAAATAGAATTTCTCTGGATCAAATTGAGGGACCTTAGACATTATAAAAATATTAGATGTCCTTTATACTATAAAGTCTTAACACAAGGGACCCTAAAAAAAAAACCCCCCAAAATTTATAACTAAACAAATTTTAAAAAAATAATTCAAAATTACTTTCAAAATTTATTTCTCCTCTTTTTTATTATTATTATTATTATTAATCAATCAATCAATCAATCAATCAATCACTTTTTTTCTTTTATCTCTCATCTTACATTCTATACATCAATCAATAAAAAAAAAGTACAAATTATCCCAAAACTATTTTCAAACTCATAATTAAACAAATTTTATCTTCAACAATGCTTGGTAGCTCGAATTTTCATAGCCCGAATGGCTCGAATCTATCAAAACGACGTCATTTTGGTAAAACGACATCGTTTTGAGACATTCAAGCCATTCGGGTCACATAAATTCGAGCTACCAAGCATTTTCTCTTTTAATCTTTTCAAATCACGATTCAAAAACTCAAAACTCAAAATACAACTCTATACTCAAATCATAATTTTAAAACTAAATCAAACGAACCCTAAATATAATACGAATTATTATTATATTATTTTATAATATGAAGATATTCTAGAGGTTTTGTATTTGTGCCGACCCTTCATTTTATCAAAGATATTATTTTAAGAGTATGGCTTCCTCCAACTGTTGAGCCTGTGGGGGCCTATTATGGGTTCCGTTTCAATAATTCGAATCGTTTAATGTGTAGAACTTGTCGAGTCCTATGTATTTGTAAAAAATCACGAAGATCGGATATTGATAATTACATGACCAAACCAGTTTTTTTATAAAAAAAAATAGACAATGAAAAATAAACGGTTAACATAAATCCGATTTGAACACGTAGCTATCAATATCCGATCAACATGATTTTTTACAAGCATATAATACTCGACGAATTCTACATATTCAACGGTTCGAATTATCGAAATGGGACCCGTGATAAACTCCAACGAACTCAACAGTACCCTCTAATCTGATTAGGAACTGAAGAGAAGCCCTACCCTTACTTCAATTCACCTACATTTCTCATTTTCAACTAAAAAAATACTATCATTATCCAATTTCTATGCAAAATTCTCTACTAAATAATATGATAGTGATGTCTTTCTAAATAAGTATTTTAATTTAAAATTATAAATCTCAATCCAGTCATCTTATTTTATATATAAATTCTGCATATATTTTTTATTTGTATAAAATTATTTTTTTTAATTAAATAATAATGAACCTATATATATTAATGGTTCCATCCACTTATCTACCCAGTTGACTTATTGAGCCATTGCTGAGCTCATAAGATTGTCTTAAATCCAAATCTCAACTTTTTCTTATAGAAATCTATGCATGAAGGATCAATTTACACAAAAGACAATTGCGCAATCCACATTTAAATTCAAGAAGACTTTGTGCGATACAGAAACTTCACACATTTTTATTTGTAACATACCAAACGGACCACACCTGTCATTTGACCAAAACAAGTAGAGAAAATCAATCAACTTGTCCAGTCCACAATTATGGTATCTAATTATGTGGTTATAGTAGTTTAAATAATTTGATTTTTTTGTAAAGATAATATTCTCGAATAATCATACAATATAAATAATATAAATCATCAAGATGGGTCTATAATGAGCCCATGATAACTCAACAATATTTTTAGTTGACTTTACTGATCAGATAAATATCTCTCTCAATAATAGATCAATTAATAAAACAAATTAGTGTAAAATTTTCCCTTCTAAAATGATCAATGGAAAACCAAAGCGAAATCTATACAATTTTAAGAAGGGTAATGCTACATGTCATGAAATAAATATCATGAAAAACTTCATGAAACTAATCCAATGGTGAATGCATAACATACAATAAAACACTACAAACACTATAATCTAATCCAAGGGTGGAGAATCTTCATGAAAACTTTTCATGACATTATTTTCATGATACCTAACATTATTGTTTTAAGAATTTGATGGAGTACAAATCAATTCTCATGTCGAAATAAATTAGAATAACAAACAACTTTCAACTCAAATCTCAATCCCCCATCATTTCACTCTCATTGCATTAATAAGTAATTAAAGTCAACTGATATGCCCATAACAATATCAATCAGAAGAAAATAACACAAATACAATCAACTTTACAATCAATCAAATCCGAAAAAACAAAAGCCAATTAAAACCTACCACCTGTATACATACAACTACCATTTCCAACAAAATTTTATCTTAATACTAGTCCGATCTGGATATGCTTGTGTGAATCTTTTTTTTTTTTTTTTTTTTTTAGAAATAAAAAGGCTCAGTGGTGTTTTTTTTTATCAGAAATAAAAGGGCTCTGTGGTGTCATCATGGCCCCTGTGAGCCCTGGCCCCGGGGTAACCGGTTGCCAGCCAGGAATTAACCCTCACCAAGTGAGGGATCCACCACCAGGGCACCAGTAGAGGGCAAACACACGCCGCAGCAGAGCCCAGGAACGAGGGGAGTAAAGGCCGAGCTCTCCGTAGAGATAACAAACATCCCCCACCCAGGAATCGAACCTGGGTCTCGGCTGGGGAACATGCTGCGTCCTTCCACCAGGCTACCAACCCTGGTGGTGCTTGTATGAATCTTATGTGTAGGAAACGTAGACACAAATTCTCACTCTACACTTTTCTTCTTCTAGGGTTTTTAAGGGCTGTGGCAGTCGGGGGTGGGGAGGAGATTCCGGTGGCTTTCGGCCTCCTCTTCCCTCCTCCTACCCCCATTTTTCTCTTTCCTTTTCTTGTTTAATAATCTGGAAGCTTTGTACTTCCATCATCTCCCTCTTTTGTGGGGTGTTTCCTCCCTCCGCTTCAACTCCGGCCGTGGCCTCACCGGATCTGTCTCCTTCTTCCTCGCCGGATCTGCGGTAATCGTTGCTGTTGGAAGTTGTTTGGTGTGTGGGTTTATGTTTTCTCTATTTTGTGTTTTTGATTTCCTTTGTGTTGTGCTCTGTTTGCGTGTATGTTTTATTGGGAGTCCATCAGTGCGTGCCTCTTAGGCTTACCCACTTTGTGGTTGAGATTTATGATTTATTCCAGACATGCTCTATTACCGATTCTTATGATCGGTTCTGCTTCGCAGTACGAGCACGTGCACGAGAGGTGCGTCTGAATATTTTCTTAGGTTCTCTCCTTTGTGTTTCTTGCAAAATTTTTACTTTGTTTGGTGTAAGTTTTGGTTTGGATGGATTCTTGTAAGTGCCGCTATGGGTTTCATTAATGAAATCTTCTACCGATCAAAAAAAAATGCAATACATTTGATACATGTTCACATGATGTAACTATACAAGCAAAATTTTTGTACATTATTCCCATACAATTTTGTATGTTCAGTAGAGTAGCTGCTTCTGGTACCTAAAAATTATGTTTTATACTGTTTAAACTTAGTAATATGTGTTAATGTCACAAAAGACATTCGTACGTCTATTGGTGTGGGCCTTATTTAAAACTCACGTCAATAGAATGAAAAATGTATTTGTGACATTACCACATGCTGTACTGATTAACGGCTCTGATCCTCCTCTAGCCGTAATACTTCCTTTGGCTCGTTGATTTGCTACCCTGCCGGGACGAAAAGCTTGGAAATGAGGTAAAAGTGGGCGGTGTGGCGAAACCTGCGGGCTGCTGCTGCTATGTTTCCATCTGTGTCATATGAGACGGCGACACTCTCCATATCTTCACCGATTTATCCAAACTCCCACTATACAAAATCCAATGCCGCTCACTCCGCCTCCCTCCTCCTCCCCTTCCCTGCTCTTCCTCCACCGCCAAGCACTTCACTGGCCCATCGTGCCCTGTCAACACCGCCAGGCAACCGTGCTCCCCCTCTGCCTCCCTAACCCACACGCAAATCCTCGTATCCGCCGACCCACTAAAAACCAAATTCCCAGCAGTGGCCAAGCACAGAACCGCAAGCTTGTGACCCCTCAACATACCGCCATTGGAGAGAAGCATATCTCGTTGCCAAAATTTCACAAGCCCATCCGAAGATCCGCAGTAAACCATCATTGCAGACGGGTCGATTGCCAGTGCCGTGACTGCGCATTCTTGCTTCAACAGAGTATGTGAAAAGATATGTTTCGTACCTTTGCCTTGTAACTCTCTCCTCCATACTTTCACAGTCCCATCGGCCGAGCCTGTAAAGACTAACCCAGTAAACCCAGAAATAACTGAATTAACCGCGTCGTCATGAGCGTTAATTGATTCCAAGCACTTGGAATTTGAAATGCTCCAAACCTTCACTGTTTTATCCCAAGAACCAGAGTACAGGAGGGTATGATCTTCGCTCAATGCCAAACAAGAAATGGCGTCAAAGTGTTTGATCCAGACCGAATTACGATTCTTCCTCACTTCGACGTAATTGCTGGGCTTGATCGAGCTCTTAATGTAGTCCTTCAAGGTGGGTAATGTCCCGATTTTCTTGTGAACGCTTGGGTTCTTCGCAGAGACCTTCCATAACCGAATTTTCCCATCTTGATGACCCGTGAAAATTATCTCCCCAGCAATAACAATGGCCTTAACCAACCCACTGTTCGCTTTGAACCCAGAAAATTCTTTCTGGTTCTTCCATACCCGAATGTTCCGGCTATCCGATCCGGTATATAACAAATCTCCATAAGTTGCTAACGAATATATATGGCCTTCTTCGCGGACAAGGGAGCCTATTAGGTTGGTGTTAGAATAATTGTCGTTGTTTGCCTGGGAGATGTGAGAGGTCCATGGAGAGTTTGATATTGGAGATGTTTGATTCCATGAAGGTGCTGAAAATGGAGAGAATTGTTCCCATGAAGATGGGTATTGAAAATTATTGCTGTCCGTGGTGTTTGATAGTCTCGAACTCGCGTCCGATGCATTGCTGAGGCGGAAGGAGAATTCTTCGGCATCATTTGGTTCGGATTGCATTAGCTTGCCGAATTTTTGTCGATGTGAACTGTTGGTTTCTATCACCATTTTGCCTCTTCTTGAGTTTCTCATTTTGATATTCTCTCATGTATATATATGTTGCTGGTGAAAAAACAGAATACAATTAGAATAAAGAAAAAGGAAAAGTAGATCCTAAGAAAACCGAAAGTGAATTGAAAAAAGAAAGAAAGAAAGAGAGAGAGGGTGATTAAAGAATCAAAAGGTTGAAGAAGAAGATGTATATATAGTTATATATATATAAATAGGTGGGGTAGAAAAATGTGTGGGATGATAATTTGTGAGATGTAATGTTAAAGAAAGGGACATGAGATTTTGTCAAACAGGTTGTGGTTGAAATTTTCAAAAGGGCAGTTTGTTTTTTTTTCTAAAGGATGGCTTTGTTTTGATACATGTACACCGGCCAGCCAACGAGTATTTGTCTAACAAGTTAAATTTTCAAAAGGGAAGTTTGTTTTTTTTCTTCTAAAGGATGGCTTTGTTTTGATGCATGTACACCGGCCAGCCAAAGAGCATTTGTCTAACAAGTTTTTACTCCATGTTCTGTTTTAATTATTAGATTAATTTAATAATTTTACTATAAAAAATTTATAACACTCGAACAAATTTAAATTTAAATAGAATAAAAGAACAAGAAAAAATATGTTCATCCTATACCAATCATATCATGTAAATAAAATATTAGTGCATCAACTTATAATTAACTTATACTTATTTAATATAAATTTTAAATGATTCTTAATAAAATTCTCACAATTATATTCACGAGTTTCAAATGTTGGTATCTCGTATTATTCTTTTTAAATAAATTCACTTACACACCATAAGATAAGAGTCTTAATTTAGATTCAATTCTTCATCCAACAGTCAAATTTATGAATTGCCATTCGTTTCAAACCATCAAGATTATAAATTCAAAACTTTTATCCAAAAATTTACTTAAAAATGATGATGCTGTTTTATCGGGGTAGGACTAGGTCGGATTGATACAGGGACTCCACGGGTTGTCTTCGCTCCGTCCTTCCAGACACTCCTGCAACAAGTCCAATGGGAAGGTTTTGATATGGGGTGATTCCCTCCTGTGGACCCTCCGATGGTTGAGTTAAACGGGGTCGAAATGATATCAGAAAACAGTCTAGAAAGGAAGAGAGAGAGAGAGAGAGAGAGAGATTTCTTCTTACCAATGTGAATTATTAGAAGCTTCTTTATATTCCTCTCCCATCATTTCCTTATCTATTCACATTATCCCATTGGCCGAAAGCTTGCCATTTGCTTGCCGTCAACCATGGTGGTTTTCTATTGCCTTAGGGTTAGAGGTCTTGTTACATTTAATACTTTGATAGACTCATTTAATGTTTGGCGTATGGGTTGAATAACTCTCCGAAATCTTTGTTTGTCACGTGGTCAGCTCCCTTCCTAGCTGGTGCCTCGGCCTAACCATTGTAAGTTCTCTACTAGGCTTAGTGTTGGGCCTGCCTTGCTAGGCTTCAGGTGAGTGATTGTTTGGGTAACTCAAGACAACCCCTCTGGGCTGTGCCCATCAAAAAAATATTAATGTAGGGTCTAGATATAATTTATACAAACTCTAGAATAACCTATTTAAATGTCAACCATTCATATATGTTCTTGGTTATTTATCTGATGCAAGTTCTGAGTAATTCGAAAGATAGCTATGTCTCGAGGTACTTGTTTCTCCTCCGCCGCAGCCGACAAAAAGAAGTAGCGACAGGGCGCCATATTGGATGCTCACTGGTTGGGTATCGTCTTCCACCTATTCAAACCACCGGAGAAATCAAGAGAGGAATACTTTCCATTAAAATTTACATTAAACACAAATTCATTTTTCAAGCAGAAAATATTTAGAAAAATTTATCCCTAAAGATTTACATCAAAAGATGAAAATTGAATACTGTTTATTAATTCCTAGCATTGTTGATTAATTTTTCCTTCCAAAGTTTGTCTTCTTGTATTGCTATAAAAAGAATGACTCGTCCCATTTTCTCATTTAACTTGACTATTTAGCAGATGGTAGTGTAAGAATATTACTTACATGATCTCATCATATTTTGTTTATCATACCATATATCATTATTCTTTTTCTTGTTTTTGGATTTACTATATATCATTACTATATTATTAACAAACACTAAATTTTATTTATCATGTATATACCACCACTATATTAATAACATAAATTGTGAGATCTATTAGATTAATATAAAAGTGACATACCACATAATAAATAAAATATGATATAATAAATATGATTATTATAATATTATTAGTAATACAATTGTAATGTAATTGTAGTACAAAAATATTTAAAATAAAATAATCATATATATATATATTATATTAAGAGTAGATGTTTATGTGACACTTTATAAGGATTTAATTTTTTTATAAGAAAGTCACTTCAGTATTTATTTTTTTAATTAAATATAGAGTTCTACACAAATTTAAACATAATTCAAATTATACTAACCTTACCTATTTTATATGGACTCTATTTGACAAATATTTTTTTTCCATATATTTTTCATGGTAAATTGAGATAATTCACAAACTCAATACCAATTATGTGTTTTACATTTGTCTTCTTAATTCTTTCGAGGGTATTATGTTTTTTTAATGCTAAATTACCTTTATTTTTTCTTCTTATTTTCCTGTGCATTATTCTATACTCAATACCAATTCTATATTATGGATTTGTCTTTGAAATTTTATAGTGATTCTATATATGAAATTATACTTCGTTTCTTATATTATTTTATATAATCACAATTTACGCAAGGAAATAATTGATACTGTGGAAAAACCTTTAAAATTTGAATTTACTGCTTGACTTACTTTTTTAATTGTTAAACAATAAGTTATTTTATGTTTTGACATCATATTATAATTAATCACTTTACACACTGAGATGTATCTATCGTTTAGATGTTTTTATTATATTTTATTTTTTAATTTGAATGTTGTTATGTGATTGTTAAATTTCTTTATAATCTTATAATTTAATATAAATATATATATATATATATATATGTATAATTATATATAAAATCTAACTACAACATATTACATTTAAATTTTTTAATAAATTTTATATAATTTCTATTTCTATATAATTTTTTTTTTCAAATGAATATAAGAGAAATTAAATAGTTAGAATTACTTTTTAATTTTATGTTACTAATTGTTCTTCTAATTTAACTATTAATTTTTAATTATCAAAATGAGTATTTATTTTACTATTTTATAATTTAATATATATCATATAAAATTATTATATAAAATTTATATTTTTATAATATGATAGAAACTAAAATTGTTCAAATACACAAATAATTAACTAAAATTAATATTAATAAGTATTCAAGTAACAATTTATTAGAACGATATCGTCAATATTATCAAAATAGATATTTAAAATCATACTTTAATTTTAAATTAAAATTATTTTTTATAATATTATTATAACATCATTTTTTAAAAAAAAAAAAATAACACGTGCATTATAGATATCTAACTATTAGTTAGAAAAAAACTATTGCTAAAGGATTTTTCAACTTATTGGCTTGGGATTACCACCATTTACAATTTACAAACAATGATAAAAAATAGTAAAAACTGGAGATAATTTCTGGAGTTGACTAAATGGTTGCAGAGCACCGCCCCTGCTGTCCCGTACGCCTTTGCTAGTTACCACACAAGGCAGGTTAGATTGGACGTTGCCCATTTTGGGAAGCGGAAGAAGGAAATATTCAAACAACAATGTTAGGGAGTTACATTTTTGTGATTATAATGGTTTAAAAACTGTTAAAATAATGTCGTTTTGACATATTTTGCATCCAAAATAACGTTATTTTGACAATTTTAAGCTATTGTTGGCCACAAAAAATTGTGGCTCTCAAACATTTTCCATATTCAAATATGCAGACAATTTACGCTTACTTTGGTGGGAGAGATTTGGTGAGAAAAAAAATAAAAGATAAAAATAAAAATTATTTTATTTATTTGAATAGTTAAGTAAGTGATAAATGATGAAAAAAAAATTCTCACTAAAATTGTGTTTTTTTTTTTTATAAAAAATGGGGAGATTTTGCTAAGAAAGTTTGGCATCCTTCAAAAAATTTCAAAAAGTCAAAACACTATCCTATTTTAAGTCATATCATCTTATTTAAGTCACATCACATCTCTAACACATCACTTCAAACCCAACCCAAATCCAACCCATATTTCATAAAAAGTCAAAAAGTGCACTTATTTAGTTCTTCCCAAACTTGGCCTTAATGAGTTTATGAAACTTTTTTTAAAATATCAAAAATATCCTATGGTTAAAGAAGTTAAAAAATAAACTTATTATTGGGTTGTTGCAGTGATGAAAAAGTTGGAAAAGAAAATTTAGTTAGCTCTCCCTCTGGCCATTCTCAGGTCTATTTTAAAAACATAGAAATGAGGGTGTCAAATGAAATTTCAAAACTAAACTTGGACGAATGTGTGATCTATTAACGTAAAATAGCGTTGTGGATCAAGGCCTCTCCAATGTCTATTGTGTTGTCTGTCAATGACATTGTGTTCTAATTCTGCAACAAGTGTTGTACTACACCAGAATGGTTGCTGATGAGTTGTTGTTCAAATGGCTTTGGCATAACACACTGTTTGTGTTGGGTTTTTTCCTTCTAGCTGTCTGGGTGGGCCTGTGATGCGTTTTTGCTTTGCTTTTCTGTTGGTTTCTTTGGTGGTTGCTCATTAATTTGGGGTTGCTAAAACTAAATAAGATGTATAATTTGGTACTAACTTAGTTTGAATGATCTTACTTATTGTGATTTTTGTGGCACTTGTCATTATTCTGTAATCTTGTATTTTACCTTTTTATTAATAAAGTATAACTTTTTTGTTGATAAAAAGAAAAATATGGAAAAATATTAATTTTTAATAAAATAAAATAAAGCATTTTTTTTGGATAAATTACATTGACACCCCCTGGTTTATATTTATTACAGTTTCCCTCATCACTTTTTGGAATTACATCTCTCTCCCTGAGACTTGAAGTTTCTATTAACAAGATTCCCCTTCAGCAATTTAATTTTTTTTAATATTAATTTTTCCCTTCTAGGTAAATTACATTGACACCATCCTCACATTTAAACAAATTACAATCCCTTCCCTAAGATTTAAAGTATGCTTTACCAATTACCCCTGGTTAGTATTAGTTGGAAAAAAAAATCGTGAAAAAAATTAAATTGGAAAAAATTATTTGAAAAAAAAAAATTGGTTAATAAAAATTTTTAATTTCTGTTAAAATCAACGTAAACTTCATTTTTTTGAATTTACGTTTTTTCTTAAATTACAAACTGAAGACAACAATTCATTAAACTAAAAAAATTTATCAAAACAAGTTTTGTGACAGTTTTTAAAATTTTTGTTAAATATAAATTGAAAACTGAAAACGAAATAGTTACCAAACAAGCTCAAGATGGTAAAAATGACGCAAAATTAACCAAATAATTAAATAAGTTATCAACGAAGAAATGAACTGTATCGAAGATTTTTAGGCTTATATATGGTTTTGATTTTTAGAAAAAAAATTAAAAATTAATTTGGTTAAGAAATAAAAAATAAAACATAATTATCATTTAAGGGTAAAAAATAATTATCATTTTAACTTTTGGGCATCTTATATACATACGTATAGTTGTTTCCATTTAATTTGTAAAAAATTATTTCTAATCACTCGAAAGATAAAAATTATATAAAAATGATAATTATTTTTTATTTTTTATTTCTTAACTAAATTAATTTTTAATTTTTAAAAAAAATTCTAAAAATCAAACCATACATAGCCTAAGAATCTTTTGATAAGACATTTCTTACGTTGGTAACTTATTTAATTATTTGTTAATTTTTTGAAATTTTTACCATCTGAAGCCTGTTTGGTAACTATTTTATTTTCAGTTTTCAATTTATAGTTACAAAAATTTTAAAAACTGTCATAAAAACTTATTTGATAATTTTTTTGGTTTATAAATGATTGTCTCAGTTTGTAAATTTGAAGAAAAAACATTACGTTGGTTTTTAAACAGAAATTTAAAAAAATTATTAATAATTTTTTTTTTCAAATAATTTTTTTCCAATTAAAATTTTTTTTTTTGAATGATTTTTTTCCCAACTAATACTAACCGATGGAACAATTAGTAATGCTTCTTTAAACCTTAAGAAGGGGATTGTAATTTTTAAAATGTGAGGGGTGTCAATGTAATTTACCCAGTGAGGACAAAATTGGTATTTTAAAAAAATTAAATTGCTGAAGGAGGAAATCTGTAATGAAACTTTAAATCTCAGAGAAGGAAATGTAATTTCCAAAAAATGAAAGAATAAACTGTAATAAATATAAATCTCAAAAGGTGTCAGTATAATTTATCTTCTTATTCCTTTGGGTGACTTCAAATAGCGTCCGGATCCTCTAGAGTCATTTCCTAAAGTGATCCTCTAGAGTATTCTTTTATGGCCCGACACGTGTCCTATTGATGGAACCAATGGCTGAGATGATCCCTCTCCAAAACGACGTCGTTTTGGTTATCAACCCAATTTTTTTTTTTTTTTTTTTTTTTGGTACGTGTGTATGTAAAAATAAATAAATAAATCAGTTCCTAGACGAATTAATTTTCATTTCCTCATCTCCTTAAAATGGCTTATCCTCAGAGCTTTCAACTTCAACAGAACCACCAACAGACCTACTCTATCATCAACTATGGAGATAAACAAGCTTCTTCTGATCACCACCCTCTTCATTCTTCAATCTGTCTTGTTCCTCCCACCAATCCAATCGTCAAACTCAGGCCTCTTCCGAGAATACATAGGAGCAGAGTTCAAAAATGTCAAATTCTCAGATGTGCCCATAAATCCCAACATTGAATTCCACTTCATCCTCGCCTTTGCCATCGACTACACCGCCACCTCTTCTCCCTCTCCCACCAATGGCCAATTCAACATCTTTTGGGATACCGATAATCTCAGCCCGTCTCAAGTTTCCTCCATAAAAAACCAGCACTCCAATGTCAAAGTGGCTCTGAGCTTAGGAGGAGACAGTGTGGGAGATTCCAAAGCCTATTTCAGTCCCACCTCAGTAGATTCATGGGTTTCCAATTCCATCGCTTCACTCACACAAATCATCAAACAGTACAACTTAGATGGCATTGACATCGACTATGAACACTTCAACAACACCGATCCAAACACCTTTGCAGAGTGCATTGGACAGCTTATAACCAAAATGAAAGAAAATGGACTCATCTCTTTTGCTTCTATAGCTCCATTTGATGATGATCAAGTTCAGAGTCATTACTTGGCCTTGTGGAAGAGCTATGGCAATCTCATAGACTATGTCAATTTCCAATTTTATGCTTATGATCAGAGTACCAATGTTTCTCAGTTTATGGCCTATTTTCAGACTCAGAGCTCTAATTACAATGGAGGGAAGGTCTTGGTGAGCTTCATCAGTGATGGAAGCGGTGGGTTGTCACCGGAAAATGGTTTTTTTTCCGCTTGCAGTAGGCTCAAGAATCAGCAAGAACTTCATGGGATTTTTGTTTGGTGTGCTGATGAGTCCAAGGCAAAAGGATTAGGATTTAGCTATGAGAAGCAATCACAGGCATTGTTAGCCAATTAGTATGTATTTACTACCATTGAAATGGGTTGTGTGGCCTAGTCAGCTCCAAATATGTGAAAAATGGTCTGGCGTTGTATGGTTTCGATGCAAGTGATGATGTTCTGTAATTTCTCTTATCACTGCAGGAAATTCAGCTTTTAGCGGCGTTTAAAAAACGCCGCTATAAGTGTCAAAAACGCCGCTAAATCTTTTTGCGACGCTTAGCATTAAGCGTCGAGGACGCGGCCGTCGCTATAACTTCATGACGTTTTAAAAACGTCGTTATATTAGTATAGACGGCGTTTTTAAAAACGCCGCTAAATGTCTTACTTGACACCACCATGACACCATTATGATATTTAGCGACATTTTTTAAACGCCGTCATATCTTTTTAAAAAAATGAACCGTTAATATTTTGGGTTTTAGTGGCGTTTTTAAAAAAACGCCGTGATATCTCTTTTTTTTTTTTTTTTTTGAAATTGTGCTAATTTATGTGATTAAACTAAAAAAATACATATAATAAAAATGAATAACACTAACATGAAATAATAACTTACATTTAAATAGCAAATGCATCATTAATTCACTTTCCCATTCACCAATCACCATTACCCACAAAATAACATATCCACAAATGATATTTTAATATTACCCCCAAAATAACATATCCAAAAATTGTATTCATAATTCTCAACCAAAAAATTAATTACTACTTTGTATACAAAGCCACAAAATAATATTACTCTCTTCTCTCTCTCTATCTCTCACCACTCCCTCCCCCATTTAACACAAAAAATAAGAAGAAAGTGAACCAAAACACCCAACTCCCCAATCAGATCAAAGGAAAAAAAGAAAAAAGAAGAGAAATAAGAATCCAAAGGAAAGCCCCCATCCATCCTTCATTGTCATTCTGAAACCCCATTAACAATTGTAGCTAATCTTGATGTCTTGCGTAGTCTTCCTTAAAACCCCATTAACAATTGTAGCTAATCTTGATGTCTCAAAGATCACCTGCACCCAATAAACACCAGATTAATCTAATAAATTTTCTTCAAGTTGAAACCCCTTTTTCAATTCCTCAGTTATGCAAACACAGAAACGAGCATAGAACACCACATAAATTGACAAAATTTTACTAGATTTGTTTGATTGTCTATTTTAAAAACTATGTCTTTCCATATACATGCTACAGATATGATCAATGAAATATTCCATATCTTCAAAACTAGAAAGGTGCCATCATCATTATTTCACATAAATTTATGAGCACACATCAGCATCATGAAAAGTTCAAAAAACTATTGCATTCAGCAGCACTGTCACATATGTTTGACTGCTCAAGCAGGTGCTGGTAACCAACTCATGTTCAATGCTAAAACAATTTAACGGGAAAGAAACTAACTTTCATTTAGTGTTGTTGTTTCACTGAATGTTCAGAATCGTATGTAATAAAAACAAAAGCATACAGCAGGGAGAGAATCACCTGTTGTTTGAACTTTCCATTAGATGACATCATAGATTGCATGTAAAGTTTCAGCCCAAGTAAATGGATTAAGCCAAGTATTGCAGTTTTAGCCAGAAAAGTCACTCACATGCCTCAGAAGCTCCTGGTGCCTGCAAGCAGCAGTTAAATCATCAAACAGTACAACTTAGATGGCATTGACATCGACTATGAACACTTCAACAACACCGATCCAAACACCTTTGCAGAGTGCATTGGACAGCTTATAACCAAAATGAAAGAAAATGGACTCATCTCTTTTGCTTCTATAGCTCCATTTGATGATGATCAAGTTCAGAGTCATTACTTGGCCTTGTGGAAGAGCTATGGCAATCTCATTGACTGTCAATTTCCAATTTTATGCTTATGATCAGAGTACCAATGTTTCTCAGTTTATGGCCTATTTTCAGACTCAGAGCTCTAATTACAATGGAGGGAAGGTCTTGGTGAGCTTCATCAGTGATGGAAGCGGTGGGTTGTCACCGGAAAATGGTTTTTTTTCCGCTTGCAGTAGGCTCAAGAATCAGCAAGAACTTCATGGGATTTTTGTTTGGTGTGCTGATGAGTCCAAGGCAAAAGGATTAGGATTTAGCTATGAGAAGCAATCACAGGCATTGTTAGCCAATTAGTATGTATTTACTACCATTGAAATGGGTTGTGTGGCCTAGTCAGCTCCAAATATGTGAAAAATGGTCTGGCGTTGTATGGTTTCGATGCAAGTGATGATGTTCTGTAATTTCTCTTATCACTGCAGGAAATTCAGCTTTTAGCGGCGTTTAAAAAACGCCGCTATAAGTGTCAAAAACGCCGCTAAATCTTTTTGCGACGCTTAGCATTAAGCGTCGAGGACGCGGCCGTCGCTATAACTTCATGACGTTTTAAAAACGTCGTTATATTAGTATAGACGGCGTTTTTAAAAACGCCGCTAAATGTCTTACTTGACACCACCATGACACCATTATGATATTTAGCGACATGTTGACAATGTGAATATTCACATTGACATGTTAACATTCACATTGATAAGAGTATAAAATTAGCCCACGGCCCATAGGCGGCCAAAAGCCCGCCCGCGGCCTGGGACGGATCCGATCCAGCCCGACACGTTGACAATGTGAATATTTACATTGACATGTTAATATTCACATTGATAGGAGTGTAAAATTAGCCCGCGCCTCGTAGTTGCCCTGAAACCCACCCACGGCCCGGGGCGGGCCCGACCCGGCCTGTTGACAATGTGAATATTCATATTGACATGTTAACATTCACATTGATAAGAGCCTTGAATGGGCCTTAAGCGGGTCTGGCCATTTTTTTTTAATCCTTTTTAATTTTTTCTACCAAAATTTTATTATTTTCCACAAAAAAATACATTACGCCTCGGGTGGGCTGGGTCTCGGACCGAGCCTTGAATGGGCCTTAAGCAGGCCGATGGGTCGGGCCGGGCTTCAAAGTGATAGCCTAGGCCCTAACCTAGGGTCTCGGACATGCTCGGGCCCGGACCCAAAAGAGCCTGCCCCGGGCCGTGGGCGGGCTTCGGGTAGCCCACGGGCCGCGGGCCAATTCTACATTCCTATCAATGTACATGTTAACGTGTCAATGTGAATATTCACATTGTCAACGGGCCGGGCCGGGCTTACCTTGGGCCGCGGGCAAGCTTCAGGCAGCGAGTAAATTTTACACTCCTATCAATGTTAATGTTAACATGTCAATGTGAATATTCACATTGTCACGGGTTGGGCCAAGCCCGCTTCGGGCCGCCCACGGGCTGCGGGCCAATTTTACACTCTTATCAATGTAAATGTTAACATGTCAATGTGAATATTCACATTGTCAATGGACCGGGTCGGGCCCGCCCTGGGTCGTTGGCCAATTTTATACTCTTATCAATGTGAATATTTACATTGTCAACAGGCCGGACCGGGCCCGCCCAGGGCCGTCCACTAGCCGTGGGCGGGTTTCAGACAGTCACGAAGCGCGGGCTCATTTTACACTCCTATAAATGTGAATGTTAACATGTCAATGTGAATATTCACATTGTCAACGGGTCGGGCCGGGCTCACCCCGGGCCACCGGCAGGCTTTTGGCTGCCCATCGACTGCGGGCCAAATTTATACTCTTATCAATGTGAATGTTAATATGTCAATGTGAATATTCACATTGTCAACGGCCCGGACCGGGCTCGCCCCGGGCCGCCCATGGGCCGCAGGCGGGTTTCGCGCGCGCCACGGGATGCATGCCAATTTTACACTCCTATTAATGTGAATGTTAACATGTTGATGTGAATATTCACATTGTCAACGGGCCGGGTCCGCCCCAGCTCACGGGCGGGTTTTGGGCTGCGCATGGGCCAATTTTACATTCTTACCAGTGTGAATTTTAAAATATGAATGTTCACATCATAAAATTACTAACCGTTCAAAAAATATTTATAAGGGTATCAAAATTAAATATGAGGGCATAAGTGTCCAAGAAAATAGTGTAAATCAAGAAAAAGTAATAAAACTATACATACATGGGACTAGATGGGTTAAAAAATTCCTTCATAAACTTCTTAAGTTAAAACACTTCTAAATGAAATTTATCAATAAAAATCCCTTAGAAAAATTAGGGTTTTGGCCCAATAAAATTGTATTAAAAAAATTGACAATATGAGCTGTCCAACCAATATTTAAGGGTGCATTTAGATATTCTTTTTTTTTTTTCTTTTTATTTACTCTATTCAAATAAGATAAGTGAGGAACTACGTTCTCCTTTCTTTTACTTATCCAAACGCAATTGTGAAAAGTTATAATCATTTTTTTTCATTTGTTGATCTAAACGGAGTGTTAGGAGGTGACACTGCATTGGTGTTGGGTTTCACTCTGAGTTATTTGTTATTGCATTTGCTGTATCGATTCGTGAGTTTCCAGAATTGAATTTCAATCTATTTTGCGATTCAAGAATTTCTCTGCATGGTCCTCAAACCTAACGAGATTCATGAGATGGGTGCCTACTATGTACCCCCAGTCGGGATGTCTATTCTGCTCTTCTTCTTGCTAGAGTTCCATTCCATGATATATCTATCACCACTATTACGTAATAAAAATAAAGAAATTAGATAAATTATAAATACATTTTAAAGTTTGTTTAAAATACCAATTATCTTCTGTAATTTTAAAAATTACATTATGTCTCTTAAAATTTATAGTTTCATAACAAATAACCTATTTCATTAATAAATCATTAAATTAATTAACAATTTTTAATAATGTCATAAATTTATTTCAATTAATAATTCAAGTAATTTTATTATTATGTAGGAGAGTAGTTCGAAATTTTATTTTTTTAAGTGATTTTGTTAAATAAAAAATTATGACAACATGATATTTATAATTTGTTAAATCACAAAAAATGATTTGTATTTTAAACAAATTTTAAAAAATGTATTTATACTTTATCTAAAAAAATCAAAAAATAAAATAAAAGGTGTGATCGAGATTTATTTCAAGGTAGCTCCCACGGACTTTGTTTTTTTCAGAGAACATAACTATCTCTTGTCGGGGGAACAATTTGTCTTAAAAAATGAATAGTCTCTATAGACTATTTATTTTATTAAAAAAAAAGGATTTAATAATATAATTAATAATA